GATAAATATAAGGCTAACCGAAGCCCTCTGGAAGGGTTGTGCTCATTGGGTGCCATTAATTATTGTAATTAATTAATAAATGTGTTGTAATTTATGATACTTTAGTAATTTTTAAATTTTTAATTTACCGGTAATTATAATTAATTTTGTAATTAAATGCAATTTATTTGTTAATTAACAGTACATTGATTTCTTTATCGGGACATAATTTATGGACACGTTTTATATGTGATTACCATTGAGTGAATTTGTGGTCTATTTTTGTATTTATTTTTTATTTACATTTAATTTTGTTTTTAAAAAACAAATGGTTTTATAAAATGTGAACCAAAACTGAATTGAATTTAATTATAAAATTAGTTTTAATCAATGTTTCGGTTGTATTGAAACAATGCGTGACTTATCAGTGAATGAGTGTCTGTTTGATGGCATGAGTGGTGATAATGAAAGACGGATTTCATGTCATGGATTTCATGTGTCGAGCAAACAGTTTGTCGTCTATTAATTAATAGGTCTTCCGATCAATTGGTCTGTTATTTGTCTGAAGCCGTTATCACTCGACAGACACCACATATCGGGACAACTCTTTGGAGACTCTAAATCTGTGGACACAATGTCTGCCCAATAGTCAGCTCATCAGTGATCACATCTCATGTAAGTCTTTGAGTGCACACATCCTGTGATGATGGGATCAATTGTGTGATAGTCACCAACACTTGTGGTCACACGTGATAAATCATATGTTCAGAGAGAGAGAGAGAGAGAGAGAGCACTAGTGATTATAACTTTAATGACAAGTATATTTTCCAATAGTTGAAAGGTGTGACCAGTTATAGCCGAAGACCTACTTATGGATACAAACGGAACGGAGATCAAAGTGGACGCCAAACCTGTGGCCCGATTCCAGCCGAGCGTTGTCTGCGAGACCGACGGCTGCGGCAAACGTTTCATCAACGAAGAGGTGTTGCGTTTGCATCGGAAAAGTCATTTCACGCAACGGATCCAATGCTTGTCCGCCGGCTGTCAGTACGAGTCGGGCGATCGGCGAGCGCTGGTCGAGCACATGAAGTCCGAGCACCGGATCGCGCCGTTTGTCTGCGTATACGACACGTGCGGACAACTGTTTGACTCGCGGGACGGCTTCGAGACACACGTCCAGCGAAAGCATTTGCATATATTTAAGTGCCATTCCGTCGGTTGCGGCAAAAACTTCTTCAGCGAACAGCACTTTGAATGTCACGTCAAGATATGCGACACAACGTTGAACTGCAATATCCAGGGCTGTGACTACCGGTGCGATCGCGTCCAACAGCTTAACGATCACATGAACGTTCATTTGGTGGCCAATCTGTCGCCGCCTATACCACAGACAACGCCCAAACTTGCCATCACTCGCGACCCGTACGGGTCGGGCGTCCAACTGATCCGTCAGAAGTACTTAACCAAAGGCTACGGCATTCAGAAGAAGAAGAAGATGAAGACGAAGAAAATGAAGCGCCAGTTTCGCTGCGATCAGAGCGCCTGTAACTACCGGTGCGATCGCGCCGTCGACTTCGCCCGCCATAAGCGCACTCATAAGCAACAGCAACGACAACAGCAGAAGCAACGGTTCCAATGCGCGCACATGTCGTGCGGCCAACAGTTCGCCGCCGAAGACACGCTGGAAGAGCACGTGAACGACGCGCACCGGGGGTTCCGCTGCGAGTTCGCCGGCTGTCACAAAGTGCTCAAAACGCGGCTCAGTCTTCGGCAACACATGAAACTGCACACAAACACCGAGAAGGCGTTCCGCTGTCCGGCGCCGCTATGTCATAAGCTGTTCCGCACGAAATACAATCGCGACACTCACCACAAGCGCATGCATTCGGTGCGCGACGACCGCGTCTATGTGTGCGAACGAGACGACTGTCTTTTCGCCACCAATCAATTGGCGGCGTTCAACGCCCACAAAGAGAGCCATCGCGACCCACGCAACTACCCGTGCGTGTGGCCCGACTGCGGCAAACGGTATCGCAATAAGTATCTGCTTAAATACCACGCACTCACTCATCAGCGGATCAATTGCGAGACACTTGGCTGTGGCTATAGTTGCGTCGACAGCAAACAGATGGCCGACCATAAGGCCAAACAGCACTCGCCCGCCACCGCTGTTGCGGTCAAACCGATTATCGGCAGTAAAAGTCACAAGATTTTCGCTAATAAGTCACGCAATAAACCCATTGTGAAGAAGTCTCGGGTCGACTCACCCGCCAAAGACCGGCCGTCGAAAGACTGTGACTCTCAGTTGGATCACAACAAAGACACGATTAAACATACGAATACTCACAAACCAGTGGCCGCGTCGGCGGCGGTCAGCGCACCCCTAGTGGTCGCCCATAAGACAGTCGCTCATCCCAAAGACATTAAGACATCGTTCCGTTGCGGCCACGAGTCGTGTGGCAAGAGTTTTATCACTGAACACACGCTTAACAAACACTTGACCGAAACGCACGCCAATCGGGTGACAACGCCGACCACTGCCGCCCCCATCACAGCGACCGCAGCGCCAATCGCTGTGGGCTCTAAATATCGGTGCGATTATCCCGACTGTAATAAAGTGCTCAAAACCAAAGCCATTCTCTGCGAACACAAGAAGATCCACGAGAACAGCGAGAAGCAGTTCCCGTGTCCGGTCACGGGTTGCGACAAACTGTTCCGCACGAAATACAATCGCGACACTCACGCCGTGCGCGTCCACCGGTCGGAGCGGCTGTTTGTGTGCGACTGGAAGGGCTGCCGCTTTGCCACCAATCAGTTGCGTCCGTTTAACGCCCATAAGGCCAGCCATAGGGCCGGCGCAGCGCCGCCAATACAGACAAAACCGTTGAACTGCCCGTCCGTTCGCGGCGACAAAACGGCGGCCAAAAGCCAACCAATACTTCGCAAACATAATTGTGTCAAATCGGGCACAACTGCGGCCAACACTCGTCACACACACAGCACTGCCACGAGTGCCGCGTCGGGAGCGGCGGTGACCTACCCGTGCAAACGGGCCAATTGTCGGCAACGATTTAAAACGCGTACCGAATTAAACGCACACACGAAGAGTCACAACCGACGCAAGTATAGGTGCGGTGCGAAGGGCTGTCCCTTCACGGCCGCCGACGCCTCCAAACTGACAATACATAAGCGAAATAAACACGAGAATAGGAAATAAAATTGTATACAAATCCTGTGTTTAATCCAATGTATGGTTTGTTTTTTGAGTACAATTTTTTAAATTAATTTTATTTACAAATTATTTATGAAATATTTGTGTAATTTATAAACGTTTTGTTAATATAACTTATATTTACTATTAATTATTATTATTATTACTATTAATTAATAGTGGTTTTAATTGTATATTTGGTTTTTGTATTTTACATAGATTTTATATATTAGTTGTAGAGTTTATATATCGTGTATTATTTATTGATTGTGTATTTATTAATATATTTACTATAAATTAGTTAAACCAAAAACACCACAAAACAAAACTTAATATATTATTGGAAACAAATATTTAATATAATGATTAAACAAAACACATGATAACTATTATCTATCACTCAATGGTATGCTTACAACGAGTAATGCCGTCAATAATAATGTTTGCATCAAATCTGTATAAAAAACAAACAATTAGTTAATTGATTATCAGTTGATTTAAATGTACAACTTTTTTATGTGCAATACATTTGTATCCGATATAAGATATACTAATTCACTATAGACTTCAACACTTGTAATAAGCGATTGTGTGTTAATTATATATCGTTTTCAATACATTGTCTCGTATTATACAGTATATAATGATTGATATTTACATTAAAACTTTCATTGATTTTAAACAAAATTATATTTAATTGTTTATAACTTTTTTATACCTTTATTAAAACAAATATAAGTTTTCCTTTGAGTGCACTTTCACTGCAATACACGACGTATTCAATGGATTAGCCTTTCGTTTGTAAGCAAACTTTTTTGAGTCAAAAATTATAACATTTTTTCCGCAATTGAATTGAAATTAAATTAAATTTATGAATGATTTAATGAATTTGTGGTAAAAATGTCTGAATTAGTGATCAATGATTTGATCCAAGAGTTGAGTGAAGAAAATACACGACTTTTGAGTGAATTATTGTTTTTGAATCAATGTTTTGATGTCTTAAATGAGTTTNATTAGTGATCAATGATTTGATCCAAGAGTTGAGTGAAGAAAATACAAGACTTTTGAGTGAATTATTGTTTTTGAATCAATGTTTTGATGCCTTAAATGAGTTTCAAATATATTTGAATAAAATATTGAGTTTTAAGACAACTTTGAAAGACTTGAATCACTTATCACTTCAAGACATTATAAGACTGGAAGTACTCAACACTAAATTCAATGTCATTATCACTGAAACAAATGGACACAAAAAATCTTCGGCCACTTTAGTCAACAAAACTGTTTCCCAATTAACGTTAGTTTCAATGATTGTCTGTCCGGTCATCGGATGTGGACTAATGTTTCCCACAATTGAGTTATTGGAAAACCACTTAAAGACTCATTCCTCTGGAAGTATTACTATTAACAACAAAGTGGTAAAATTTGTGAAAACAATACCTATAGTTATGATCAATGATTTGCTTCAAGAGTTAAGTGAAGAAAATACAAGACTTTTGAGTGAATTATTATTTATGAGACAATGTTTTGATGTCTTAAATGAGTTTCAAATATATTTGAATAAAGTATTGAGTTTTAAGACAATTCTGAAAGACTTGAATCACTTATCACTCGAAGACATCCAAAGACTCGAAGTATTGGAACTAAATTTTAATGTCATTATCACTGAAACTGAACGAACGAAGACATCAGTAAATGCTTCAAAAGACAATCGAGTGGTGAATAAAAAGATAATAACCACAAAGAGTGACAATAAGAGGAAGAGTTCAGTGAAACGAACGAAGAAATTGTCGCATAAGAAGTCGAAGAATGGATTGACTCCAAGAAATGTATTGATTGACACGATTTGTGACACCACTGGTAATGACAATGAAGACCAGTTGAGTGACAATAAGACCGATGGAAACCAATTGACTCATGAATTGGTGTCTAAAGAACCGAACGATAAAGAGATAACGACTGACACAACAACTCGTGGATATAATACACGTAATAGTCGTGTCAAACGATTACTAAATATAACACATAATAACTCAAAGAAGAGTTTAGAAGATTTAAATGACAACAACACTGACGATGAAGACTATGTCAGTGACAACGAGACTAACAATGAAAGTGAAGAGATTAGTGATGCGGATAATAAGCGGCCATTTGTGTGCACTCATGAGTCCTGTGGTAAACGTTTTAAAAGGAAAGAACATCTTAAAAATCACGTGAATAGCGTTCACTCAACCGATCGGTCATACGTTTGCGATTACGATGAGTGCGAACAATCTTTTACTTCATCTATAAGGCTGTGCGCACACAGACAACGAGTTCATCAGATCAGAAAACCCCGCAAACGAGTGACACCTATTCGAGGCCCGTATGTCTGCACTCACGAGGAATGCGTCCAAACATTTGATTTCAGACCTGATTTTGACCGACACTTGGTATCAGTTCATTCAACATTCAACTGTGACAAAGGGATTGCGACTAAGAAGAAGTTAACGGATCACAAGTTGGATTCACACCCGCCCGCAGACGGGGGACAGCCGTGTGTTTTTTCGTACGGGGAGTGCGGGAAAGTGTATCCATACAAACTCAAACGGCGGGGCGATGAAGACTATGTCAGTGACAACGAGACCAACGATGAAAGTGAAGAGATTAGTGATGCGGATAATGACCGGCCGTTTGTCTGCACTCATGAGTCCTGTGGGAAGCGTTTCAAAAGGAAAGAACATTTGAAAGATCACGTCAATAGCGTTCACTCAACCGATCGGTCATATGTTTGCGATTACGATGAGTGCGAACTATCTTTTACCTCATCTAAAAGGCTGTCCGCACACAGAAAACGAGTTCATCAGAAGGGAAAACCCCGCAAAAGAGGGCCTATTAGAGGCCCGTATGTCTGCACTCACGAGGAATGCGATCAAATATTTGAATACAGATCTGATTTGGACCGACACTTGGTATCAGTTCATCCAACATATAAGAGCTATTTTTGCGATTATCAGAACTGCGGCAAAAGGTTTGCGACAAAGGCTCGGTTGACCGATCACAGGCTCGACACACACCCGCCCGCAGACGGGGGACAGCCCTGTGTTTGTCCGTACGGGGAGTGCGGGAAAGTGTATCCATACAAACGCAAACTCTATAAACACATGAAAGCCGCGCACCGAGAAAATAAGAGGCGATTGAGTGTTGCGCGCCAACACATGACATGTTTGGTGCCCGGGTGTGGACTCGTGTGCAACTCATTCAGTGAAGTAAGAGCTCATAAAAGAGAGGCCCACCCGGAGCTGGTGAACCGGTGCCCGTGGCCCGGGTGTGACTACACTGAAGCATATGGGCTTTCTATTGGAAGGCACATACGTTCACACAGCGATGAGCGGCCGCACGCCTGCGAATGGCCCGGTTGTGACTATAGGGCCAAATTGAAGGGTAGACTCATTGAACATCAATTGGTCCACAGTTCAGATCTGGTCCACGCGTGCGATTGGCCCGGATGTGGGTTTAGCACCAGACGTAAGGGTGATCTAACTCAGCATAAGGTGATCCACAGCGCTGTGCGTAACCACGCGTGCGATTGGCCCGACTGTGGGAAACGGTTTAAGTTTAGGACACAATTGAATAGTCATCTGAAGAGAGAACACACGGGGAAAGTGTTTGCCTGCGATCGTAACGGCTGTTCATTCAGTACTCGCGATACAAACCAATTAAATGAACATAAAAAAGGACATGAATTTAATGTTTAATTCAATTCAAAAATCAATTAAAAAATTAATTAGAAGTTTAAATTACATTTAAAATCTATTACACAAACGGCTAAAGACTTACCTTACGATTGAGACAATATTTCTGCTGTAAGTGTTATTATAAATTTTATATATTTTATGATATTATAAATTCATTATATTATATATTTGTCTAATTAATAAAACATATTTTTAATTGAGTTATTAATTTATTTTATATAAATTATATTTTGCAACTAATTTATTGTGATTTGTTGTATACTTTGCGCAACACTTGTAAGCCTTGCAGTGAAAGTGCACTCAAAGTGTGTTTACATTTGAATTGTTGTGTGAATTGAGAATCAATTGAATGATTGTTTTGATTGAATGGTAAACACGTGTTGTGTTTAAGACATTAAAACAATGTCTGAATTAGTGATCAATGATTTGATCCAAGAGTTGAGTGAAGAAAATACAAGACTTTTGAGTGAATTATTGTTTTTGAATCAATGTTTTGATGTCTTAAATGAGTTTCAAATATATTTGAATAAAATATTGATTTTTAAGACAACTTTGAAAAACTTGAAACAATTATCACTTCAAGACATTATAAGACTGGAAGTACTCAACACTAAATTCAATGTCATTATCACTGAAACAAATGGATACAAAAAATTGTCGATGACTTCAGTCACCGAAACTGATCCCCATTCCTCTGGAAGTACTACTATTAACAACAAAGTGGTAAAATTCGTGAAAACAATAGCTGTAGTTATGATCAATGATTTGATCCAAGAGTTGAGTGAAGAAAATACAAGACTTTTAAATGAATTATTATTTATGAGACAATGTTTTGATGTCTTAAAAGATTTTCAAAATTATTTGAATAAAATATTGAGTTTTAAGACATTTATGAAAGACTTGAATCACATATCACTTCAAGACATCCAAAGACTAGAAATTAAATTCAATGCAATTATCACTGAAACTGCAAAACACGAGAAATCATTAATTATTTTAAATTTCAATCAAGTATTGAATCACTTGAAAACAGAGGAAATCATTGACAACACATCCAATGGCTTTGAATTTATAACTAAAACACAAATCACAGCAAAGAGTCTGCCATTGAATACACCATTAGATGTGTTGAACACAACCCAAACTACACCACAATTAATACCTCTGGAAACGCGTAACTCTCTGACCATTGATGACGAACTCAATGAGTTGGACACACTTTGCAATCACATAATCACTGAAACATTTGAACCCAAGACAGCGGTAAACAGTGAAACGGTTAACCGAGTGATGGATAGCCCGAAGAGTGACGACATAATCACCACAAAGTCTAATACGAGGAAAAGTCCTGTTTGTAAAGTATTATACGAAACCAGTAGTGACTCTGAAGACCAGTTGAGTGACAGCGAGTCGTTTGATAGAAACAAAGGCATAACAACTGTCGATCGTAACCATCGTGTGTGGTATGTGTGCCGTCACGTGAGTTGTGGCCAACGGCTTAAATCGGAGACCGAACTCATGAAACACGTGGCAACACATCACCCCTCCTCTCAGTTATACGTGAGCTCTTACGAGAACTGCGGTCAAGTGGTGGTCACTCGGAAACAGGTCTCACACGACAAACACGACGACGACTCACATTCCACGCCCCCAACACCTGGTCTGAGGCCATCCCAGAGATCAGCTGACGAGCCGTACTTTTGTCCGTACAAGGGATGCGGTGACGTGTGTGCGAACGCAGGGAAACTACGGCTACACATTAAGTGCTGTCACCCGCCCTGTTCGCCACACGCGTACACTTATCACAAGTGCGGCCAAGTATTTCAATACAGACCTCAATTGGACCGACACATGGTATCAGTTCATCCAACATATAGTACTTTATTCTGCGATTATCAGAACTGCGGTAAAAGGTTTACGACTAAGAAGAAGTTGACGGATCACAAGTGGCACTCACACCCGCCCGCAGACGGGGGACAGCCCTGTGTTTGTCCGTACGGGGAGTGCGGGAAAGTGTATCCATACAAACGCAAACTCGATAAACACATGAAAGACGTGCACCGACTGCGGGGCGAGTATTTGATCGATGGACGCGTTTGTGTGGACACAACCGAGACATTGACACATAATGACAATCACCAATTGGCCAGCGCTGACCCAACAAAACAGAAGCAATTGAGTGTCGGGCGCCCACGCGTGACATGTTTGGTGCCCGGGTGTGGACTCGTGTGCAACTCATTCAGTGAAATAAGAGCTCATAAAATAGAGGCCCACCCGGAGCTGGTGAACCGGTGCCCGTGGCCGGGATGTGACTACACTGAAGCATATGGGTGTTCTCTGGGACGGCACATGGTTTTACACAGCGATGTGCGGCCGCACGCGTGCGAATGGCCCGACTGTGGGAAACGGTTTAAATTAAGAACACAATTGAATAGTCATGTGAAGAGAGAACACACGGGGAAAATGTTTGTCTGCGATCGTAACGGCTGTTCATTCAGTACTCGCGATACAAACCAATTGAATGAACATTATATAAATTGTTGCGTTTAAACTACTGGCAGTGCTGACCAGTGTGTGTCCAAACTATGTGTGATGGGTTCGGGTGCTTTGCGGCAACCGGTTTAATAATGTCCATCGTATTGACACAAACAAAACAATTACTGACTTTTATAACATTAGAAATTCATTGTATTATACATTTGTCTAATTAATAAAACATATTTTTAATTGTGTTATTAATTTATTTTAAATGTGAACTATATTTAGCAATTAATTTATTGTGATTTGTTGTATACTTTGCGCAACACTTGTAAGCCTTGCAGTGAAAGTGCACTCAAAGTGTGTTTACATTTGAATTGTTGTGTGAATTGAGAATCAATTGAATGATTGTTTTGATTGAATGGTAAACACGTGTTGTGTTTAAGACATTAAAACAATGTCTGAATTAGTGATCAATGATTTGATCCAAGAGTTGAGTGAAGAAAACACAAGACTTTTGAGTGAATTATTGTTTTTGAATCAATGTTTTGATGTCTTAAATGAGTTTCAAATATATTTGAATAAAATATTGAGTTTTAAGACAATTCTGAAAGACTTGAATCACTTATCACTCGAAGACATCCATAGACTGGAAGTATTAGAGACTAAATTCAATGACATTATCACTGAAACTGCAAAACACAACAAATCAGTGATTAACTCAAACTTCAAGCAAGTGTTGAATAACCCGCAGAATGAAGAGATAATTGCGGACACAATTGCCAACACATCCAATGGTTTTAAATTCATAACTAAAAGACAAATCATATCAAAGAGTCTGCCATTGAATACACCATTGGATGTGTTGAACACAACAGAAACTACACCACAATTAATAACACTTTCGATGTTTATCTGTCCGACCAATGGTTGTGGCAAAGCGTTTATCACTCAAGAGTTTCTCGACATTCACCTCAAGACACATTCCTCTGGAGCTGACATCAGTGACAACACAATTTGTATCGACGAAGACGTTACCGATACAGAGGATTACACCCCAAGAAGTAGACGATCCAAAAAACCCACGACAAGACATGCTATCACTAAACCCTCCGCACCCGTGGATAAGGAGAGACCACACGTGTGTCCACTGATAACATGCGGCCGAGGCTTCAAAAATAAAGGACATCTCAAGGAACACATTAATGCCATCCATTCGACTGACAGACCATATCATTGCGAAGTGTGTGGCAAATCGTTTGCCACTAGATCTCGCGTACGGATCCATATCGGACAGGTTCACTGCACAGCCGTTGTCTGTACGGCACCGGGATGTGGTCGGGTCTATAAGACTAATAAATTAATGCATATCCACCGGAAGAAAGCACATATTGGCCAACCGTTTGAGTGCCAGCACTCGGATTGTGGCCAACAGTTTGATAGTAGAATACTTTTGGATCGACACTCGTCGTCACATTTGCCGGTTGTTGTCACTCATAGTCCTCTCCAAGAAGTGGTTGAACATGTAGTCCATACGCCGGACAGCGATCTGATCGATGATAGACCGCTTAATGGCCGCGATATGAATGGATTTGTTTGTGACGTCAGCGGTTGCGGCAAAGCGTTCATTACTCAAGAGTTTCTAGATATTCACTTGAAGACACATTCCTCTGGAGCTGACACTACTGACGACTCAATTAGTGATGACGAAGACATTACCGATACAGAGGATTACACCCCAAGAAGTAAACGATCCACAAAACCTACGACAAGACGTGCGATCACTAAACCTTCCGCACCCGTGGATAAGGAGAGACCACACGTGTGTCCACTGATAACATGCGGCCGAGCCTTCAAAATGAAAGGACATCTTACGGAACACATGAATGCCATCCATTCGAGTGACAGACCATATCATTGCGAAGTGTGCGGCGCATCGTTTCCCACTAGATCTCGCGTTCGGATCCACCATGGTCAAGTCCATGGCACTGTTGTTGTCTGTACGGCACCGGGATGTGGTCGGGCTTATAAAACCAAATTTGCAATGCATGTCCACCGGAGGGCAGCACATATGGGCCAACCGTATGAATGCCAGCACTCGGGTTGTGGCCAACAGTTTGATTATAAAACACTGTTGGAGTCACACTCGAAGTTACATTCGCCTGTTGTTAAACGTGTAGTTCATAAGCCGGTCAGCGATTTGATTGATGACAGACCGCTCAATGGCCGCGATTTCAATGAATTGGTTTGCGATTTCAGCGGTTGCGGCAAAGCGTTCATCACTCGACACGATCTCGAAGTTCACAATCGGCAGCACTTGAGCCGCGGTCTTCTCAGAGAGCACATCGACGGCCACTCGACTGACAAACCGTTTATCTGTAATATCGACAGCTGTGACAAACGGTTCCCGACGGGATCGAGCCTAAGAACCCACTGTCAACTTATGCATAGAACTGCGATCAACCGTACAGTACGTACACCATTGGTGTGTCCCTACGAGTCATGTCGTGGTAAACGTTTCA